AGATTTGAAAAAATTACGGAGACAGTATCTAAGCTTGAAGGAAAAAATGATGAATTATCTGAACAAGTCAAAAACGAAATGAAAACTCTACGTATGAGAGTTGAAATACTTCAGGTGGAAATTGAAGCTAAAAGTCACACTATAGCAGCTTTAGTCCTCCCAAATGAGGATCGATTGTGCACTATAAAGAGACTCGAAAGTGAACTTCAGGAGGTAAAACAAGCATATCGTCTTGCTATTGAAGGGAAAAATGACAAATCAATTAGCGTATCTGAAACCGCTGTAGTTGACAACGCCTCTGACAGTGTGAATTCATCAGATAAACTTGAACAAAATGTTGATGAAAACGTTAATGCCCTGGAAGAGAGGGTTAAAGATCTTGAATTAAAGCTTTCAAAGGTGAAGGAGATAAATCATCTTTCAACTTCCCGAAGTTCCGCTCTTCATATCGTAGATCCTACACAAAAATCTGTAGAAGCACTTCAAGCTAAACTGATAATATTACAAGAAGAACTTGTAAATAAATCCGATAATATCGAAAACTTGAAAAGTGAAAAGGACTTGGTAATCGCTTTACAATCTCATTTAGAAACGCTTAAATCCGACCTTAAACGTAAATATGACCTCATTGAGATATTAAAAAGAGATTTAGTTGACAAAGGTGTTTTACAACAAAAATTAAGGGAGAAGGAAGCCGAAGCTTTAATGTTAAAGGCACAGCTTTCTGAAGTTAAGAATCGAGAGGAAGATATGCAAAAACAAATGTTGCAAGTTCAGATACAATTACAAAAGGTAGAGAGTAGTAAAGGTGCGGATCAAATTTTGCAATCTGAAATTGAAAATGTGAAAAAAGAGCTTCGAGAAGTCAAAGAAAGGGAAACTTCTACGTTAGAACGTTTACGGACATTAAATGCCGAGGAATCAAAACTTAAACAAGAATTACAACGTTTCAAAATCGTCGAAATCGCTCAAAGAGAAAGAATAAATGTATTGGAGACGCAATTATCAGAACATGGTGGTATTTTCGATGAAGATATAATAAAGTTAAAAACTGAATTGACCCTAGCCAAGGAATCTGAGGCTGAATACAAACTGAAAATTGCAACACTTGAAATCAAATTGGATAGATCAGAGCACGACTTTGCTGCATTACGTAACAAGATAGATTTATTAAAGTCTAAAACGATTGGACAAAGTACACAGATACAAAATCATGAACATCAACTTAATGAAGTACGTTCGATTGCTACCTTAATTGATTCACAACAAGTTAATCTCTTTAATAAAGAAATCGAAACCTTGCGTCAACAAGATGCAATGCAACGTAAGAAGATTGATACACTTGAGAATCGGTTAAAACAACTTCAACAAGATACAACGGTTTCCGCGTTGAAAATCGAAATAAACGAATTAAAAAATGCAGAGTCTAATCTACAACATACTGTTAAAGAATTAGAAAGTAAACTAGAAACAGCACAAAAAGAATCAGCTGAATCACAAGTTCTAAAGAATGAAATAATATTATTGAAAAAATCCGAATCCGAGCAGAATATTTCTATAGAACAATTGCAATCCCAGATTAAAGTTATAGCCGGAGAGAAAGATGGCTTAATAAGAGAACTAGAAAGTTTAAGGAAAGAATATAACACACAAAAAGAATTTATAATATCTCTTGAAAAAGAGTTGAATGATGTTAGGGAGGAATTATCTAAGGCAAAGGAAGCCGATTTAGCCAGTTCAATAGAGCTAGATAATTTATCAAAATTGTTAGCGGATAAGGAACGACAGCGAGATGAGGAATTGAAAAAGATCAAAACGTTAGAAAATCAGATTCAAGCATTTAAAGACGTTGAATCGGTGGTAGATAAGGATGCCAGCTCTCTAAAGGATGCATTGACAAATGCCAAATATGAAATTGGAACACAGAATGGTCTTATTAAAGAGTACGAGGATAAGATTAAAAATCTTGAAAAAGAACGTGATCAGCATGCTAAACGAGTGAATGAACTTACAACAACTCTTGAATCAAAGGAATTTGAACAAAAGAAAGTGGTTGCGACATTGAAATCCTCTATAAGTAATTTGGAAAGTCAACTTGTAGAAACTAAGAGTTCTTCACAATTTGATCAAAATACCATAACAAGTCTTGGAAACAAACTTGCATCCGTTGGAACATTATTTGGTGAAGCTAAAGCTTCGGAGGAAAGGCATATTAAGAGGGCTCGAGAACTAGATGAGAAATTGAGGGAAGCTAACACTACTTTGTCGATAAAAGAAAGAATGCTTACGACCAAAGATGCTTTCATTTCTGAATTAGAGGTTACTCTTCATAAGACACGAGAAGACCTCGAAAATGCCAAAATATCTGCTAGCTCCGAAGCTAGACATGTTAAAGAGCTTCATGCACAACTTTATGAATTAGAGACCAAATTATTGGAGCGTCCTTCATCATCTGAACTCGAGGCTGCTAAAAAGACCGCTGCTAAACAAAGTGAGCTAGTAAAGGAACTAGAGATGAAATTGGCATCCTTGGAACGAACATCTCCTACAGATGTAACAACAAGTATCGGTGCTATCGCTTTGATGTCTGCGCAGTTGGAGGAGGCCAAACATGCCGAAATCATACAGCTAGATGCATTAAAAGATAAACAAGACAATTTGAAACGGCTACAAGAGAAAATGGATAAAATTAACTCCGAATTAGAAATTGTTAAGAAATCAGAAGCAAAACATGTCGAATTAATAAAGACTTTGGAAACCCAACTCAAGGCAGCTGAAGGTAATCATAGTTCCGAATCTTCAAGGCTTGAAGATGCTAATGCGGAAATTGAAACTCTCAAATCACGATGCAAAAAATTGCAAAATGATCTTGATGATACACAGAAAGCAACTATGATAAAGAGTTATAGTGATGCTGATAATAGTGAGATTGTTAAGGAACTTACAAACCAACTTAATGAAGCTCACAATGAGGCTAAAATATATCGCGATCGAGTTGAAGAATTGGAAAAAATTACCAAACAACTTGAAACTGATAAACAGAATCAAATAAATACTAGCGTTGATCTTAAACAACAAATAGAAAATCTTCGACATGATCTTGATAGTATGACTGAAGGATGCACGGAAACTGCTACCACATATGAGGATGTTGTTGAGATTTCTAAAGAGCAAAAGATCCGTATTGCTGAATTGGAGAAGGAACTTGAAGAAACTCAAAAACAAAAAAGAACACTTTCTTCATATAAAAGTAATGAATCTTTAACAGATAGTTTTGATACCTATGAAATATCGTCAGACCCCAAACTTTCGAAACTTGCTGCTGCTAATGAGAATTTGCGACAGATTAATGACAACCTTCACGCAAAAGTAACCGCTGCAGAAGATCACGTGGTTTCCTTGAAACATAACATAAGGAATTTAGAGAAAGAACTGGGTCGTATGAATAACGCTCTTAATGGAGCGACCGTGGAAGAGTTGAAAGGAAAAATTACTGAACTTGAGGCAGAGAAAGAAGGGTTAGAACAGGCTAATAATTCATTTGGTGAAAATCGTAAGAAACTTGATCAAAAAATTGAATCTTTAATGAAACAATTAAATTTAGCCGGACGTGGTGGAAACAAGACAGCCGCTCAATTGGTCGAATTGAATAATAAATTAATAGCACTTGAACATGAGTATGCTAATTTGAAACAACAAACTTTGATAGATGCTCAGGAAATGGAAGATGAAATTACAAGATTATTAAATATTAATGAACAACTTGAAAAAGAAATTAATGAATTAGGGTCTCAAATACCAAAGAGAAATAGTGGTGCCTCTTTTGATTCCAAAAATTTAACACCCGTCGCTCCAAAGTTAAATGTCGTAAATGATTCTGTAAAGTCTAAATTACAAAGGCAAGAAAGTACCATTTCTCAGCAAAATAATCTTATCAAGGTTCTACAAGATAAGATTAGTGAACTTGAACGTAAAATAGAAACTGAAACTATACGCCGCCGTCCGTCATTTGGAGCGGTGTCAATTACGGATCATGACGGGCCTTCTGGACCTACAGGTGTTCGATTATCAACCTTGTCAATTATGTCAGCATCATCTACCAAATCAATACGTCCAAATATGGCAAACTTAGCAAAATCACCACCACCAACTCCTCCACCAAATCAACCCTTACCGCCAACACCTGGATCACCACCTTCTTTTGGGCCACTTTCACCACCATTTGGAATAATACCTCGACCACCACCGCCAAGAGTTGATCCAAGAAACGATTTCATTGATGGAAGTAATCCTCCAACCGGTGATCTCGCAATGGAAATACAAAAACTCCACAGAAAGATTGCTAAAATCGAAGGCGAAAATATACAAAATAAACGACTTGTTGAAACGTTGGAAAATTCTCTTGATGAAAACGAAACAAATCTTCGAGTAGCCAAACAGCAATTACACGTTTTGCAAAAAGAAAAGGCGGAACTTGTTGAACAAATAAAAATACTTCGATCTAAATTGGATGAAACGACGGAACAATTTGAACATGCAAGATCATCAGTTTATGAAGAAAAGAAGGTTATTGAAAATGTATTGGAAGAAGAACGAAAAGCAAAGGAAAATGCCGAAAAGGCACGAAGACAGCTCGAATCCAGAATGGAAGAACTTATGGCCAAGAAAAGCAAGTTTATGTGCTTTTAGGACTGTTCTTGTACAGTCAACTCTCGTTATAACGAAACGAAAGAATCTCGGATATAACGAATCCATATAAAGCGTGGGTAATTTGACGTTTATTCTGACAAAAAAAAAAAACATTGAAAATATAACGAACGTTAAAGAAAAATAATAATTATCAAAAGAAAAAAGAAAAAGAAAAAAAAAAGCAAAAAAAAAAAATCGTTATAAGGAGAGTTGGCTGTACTTGTAAACAGTAATGATAATATAGTACTTATATTCGAATTTCAATTCCTTTTAGAACCGTCTTTCCTTCATCCGTTTATGAAATCAATTATTCATCGTTCTAAACCTCCTACCAAACAACATACGTCAAGTACCACAAGCTCCTTATCCGAGGATCCTTTGTGATGATTGCCTCCGGATGCTTTTGGTATGCTCCTCTTACCAGCTTACCGAAATTCAACATCATCTATTTTTTCTACTTTTTTTTTGTGTTATATGTTTGCTGGTATAAGTTCGTTCCTTCTAGTTTCGAATTACTTTTAATAAGTTTTTTTTTTCTCTTTTTTCCTTTTTTTTTTTTTTTAGCAAGATTTAATTATCGTTATTAAGAGTTGTAATTTTAATTTTTTTGATTTTGTAAATTTTTTACAAATTTTTGTATATTAATGCCTACCTATATGACATAACAAACATTTTCATATACAACCAAAAAAAAAAAACATATTTACATTTTTTTCTTCATATAAATATAATATATAACATATCCTTTTTCTTTTAATTTTAGCAATAGAAAATTTTTTCTTATTTTTATTTTTAATCTTTATGTATTTTTATAATTAAATATCAATTGTAGAGTAAAATGTATGGGATTTTTAAACTTAAATTTTTTTTAAAAAAATGAGATTTTTTTTAATTTTTTTAAAGAAAAATTATTTTATATTTCACAATAAATTATTAATTTTATATGCATGATATAAAATCTTTTATTTAATATAAAGATTTTATTTATATAATAAAAAAAATTAAAGATTTTATTATTTTTTCAATTGTTTTACCTACAAATTTATTTTTATTTATTAATGACAATCATTTTTAATTTTGTTTAAATATTTTAAAAGGGTTTTATTTTTTATGCATCTGCGCAAAATACAAGGATGCGTAAAATACATGTAAAATTTTAAAATACAATATTTTTACGCATAGTATAAAATTTTTAAAAGTTTTATTAAAATTTAAGCAATACATTTTGATTTTTGTACACACCCCTATATTACAATAAAATGTTTCGCAAATAATAAACTTTTATTACCAAATTTTGTTTAATAGGCAAATAGCAGATAGCATTTCTCAAGTGTTAATAAAATAAAAATTAGTTTTTGTCTTTCCTAGTGACCAACATTCTAAATACTTATCATTATTCTTTCTTTTTTTTATTAGACATATAGTATAATTATATTCACTTTCATTGCATAATTCACATTTGTGAGTTGTTAACATTATTAGAAGTTTCTAAAGGTCCTTTGAATTTTGCAGTATCTGGTGATCTTCCTTTTAAATGTCTACTTTCACTATCATCTAGAATATTTTTGATAAAATCATTAGAAAAATTTTCATAATCTAAATTATCATTTGAAAGTAATTCTGAAACACTCATTTTTAAGAATATTTAACAATAAGATTTATAAAAAAAAAATAGGAAAAGTGAAAATAAAAAGAAGAAAAGAAGTATAGATACTATTGATTAAATAATTGATTTATTTAAAAGTCTAATAAATGATCATGCATCAAAAAAATTACACATAAAATGTATATTATACTCATATAAAATTCATATTTAATAATTTACTATATATGCATAGTAAAAAAATATGCATAGGTGCATTTTGTGCAGAATATACAAATTACAAATTTTTATTTTTAAAATATATTATTAAAAAAATTAATACTTTTATCATAAATTTTATGAACTTTTCTAAGTAAAAATTTGTAATTAATTAGTAATTTTTAAAGATAAATAAATAATAAATTATTATAAAAAAAATTAAATTCTAAACTTATATATCTTACTATTTATTAATTTCAAAAGAATAAAAATACTACCATTTAATAGGTTTTAATGTGATAAATCTAACAAACTAAAATACAACTAGGTAACAAAAATCGTTTGCAAGTCCAGAGCATTAAATTTACGTGATAAAGTAATTTAAAATCAGTAGTAAAACAAATATGTGCTAATAAACATTGATTTAAACAAAGAGCAGGGAGATAGATGGATATCTTGTGTCACTGCGTCTAGACTGTAAATAGTCTTACACTATGATCTAGACTAATAATTAATATAATTTTTTAAAAAATATAATTTTATTAAAGTATTTAATATTTAATATATAGAAATCTAATTTAAATTATTTTTTAGAATATAACGATAATAATATTTACAATTTTATATAAATAAAAAATTAGAATTATATTATTAATTATTAAATTTAGTTTTCTTTAATTAAATTTATAATATACAGTTAACCCTCTCTAAATGCATCCTCTCTAAATACACACACTATATATTTTCTCTCTAAATGCACATTCTTGTTCAGTCCTAAACATATAGAATTCATATAAAAATTTTCTCTTTAAATGCACACCCTCTTTAAATGCACATTTTTAAAAATTTTCACTATAGTCCTGAGGGGGTGTATTTAGAGAGGGTTGACTGTAAATAAATAAAATTTATTATCAAATAATTCTTATTTAAATTATAGATATTTACTAAAATCTTCTCAAAATCATTTATCATATCTTTTATTATGTTTTTATTATAGTTTTAATAGTTTCTAATTTTATTATATTAAAACAATTTTATTATATCTTTTATTATAATTATAATATAATTTGATTTTCAATTATTATTAAAAGATTTTATTTTTTATATATAATTTAAATATTAAATTAATTTGTAAATAAAAAAATAAAATCAAAATATAGATTAATATAATAGAAATTAAAAAATTAGCATTGTTTATTTTATAGAGTTAAAAATATTATGAATTTTTTTAAAGAAAAAAAATTATAGTTTTTATACCTTTATATAATTTCTAAAAGTATATATTTAATGATTAGATAATTTTTTTACAACATAAAACAATTGCAAGTATACAGTCTAATGCAAAAATCTTTGAACGATCAGTAATAAAATTAAAAGTCACATAGATCAGCCAATTTAAATCCAAATCGGGTTAAATTTTAAATATTTAAAATACAGCATCTGGACAATCAATTGGCGTTTTAATTGTCAACTTTGTCTTAGAAAAATTTTTTTAATTTAGTGACGAAATGAAGACTGACAATAAGAATGTGCAGGCTTAATCTATTCAACATTTGTGAAATTCTGGGATTACGAATGCAGCCAAAATAAGACGTAAAATAAATATACCAAGGTCTACAATATATTTCAACTTGGCAAAATTGAAAAAAACCAGAAGCGTCATTCACAAAAAATGCTCCAGTCGCTCTAAAAAATCACTTCAGAGAGCTCAAAAGCTCTTAGGCAGTATATTAGAAGAAATCCAGCAGTTTCTTCTAGAAAATTAGCATCAAAATTGTCACTAAAGGGTGTAAATATATCCTACAGTACAGTTTTGCAGCACTTAACTAACCTTGGCTATGATAAGAAGCGACCCATTTGCAACTCTGATGCTTACAAGGTTGTATAAGCAGAAACGTATAGAATGGGCCTAAAACTATATGAATGATAACTGGAATAGCACTCTTTTTTCAGATGAAACATCCTTTGTTATTTAGTAACACTGTGGAATATTAGTATAAGAGTCAATAAAGATGGTTATCACAATTAAAAAAAATAGCGCAATTGAGTTGCAACTTATGGTGCAATTAAATTTCCTTATGTCGCAATTAAGTTGCAACTCAATTAAAATTTGAAAATAATTATGGAGACCATCTTTAAGGGTTAACAACTAATTCATCACATCCCAAAGGATCAGACAAGAATTAACGTGTGAGGTGAATTTGTATTTAGTGCAAAACCAGTCTTTATTGCTTCTGAGAGAATATGACTGGGCAATTTTATGTTGGAATAATAAAGAAGCATCTTCCTGAGATCAAGAGAATGCTACATAACAATTAGTGCCTCCAGCAAGATAATGATCCTAAGCATACAAGCAATGTAGCTAAGAATTTTCTACAAAGAAAGTTTCAGCTGTTATAGACTGACCATCTAACAGTCCTGACTTGAACTCCATAAAAAATTTATGGGCAATTATTAAAAGAAATATAGAAATGCGACAATCACAAAATATTGGGGATTTGGAAAATTTTATGAAGGAGGAATGGTCAAAAATTTCACAAGACATTATTAAAAGTTTAGTTGGTTTAATGAAGGAGAGATGTAAGCTTATAATTAAGAAAAATGGAAAACACATTCCCTATTAATTTTTTTTTAATAAAATCTTCTGTTTTTTGACTTTCAAATAAATATTTTACCATGTGATTTGGCGTAGTCGTTATGAAGTTATGTCAAAAAATATTTGTCCAAAGACTTTTGCATCAGACTGTATTTATTTATTAATATTAATCTATTAATAAAAAATAAAATAATACTTTTTTTTTAATTTCTAAAAAAAGCATTAAAAAATCTAACTAATAATGCAAATAAATTAAGTATATAATATAAACAGATTAAAAATTTATTAATTTTAATATTTAAAACTAATTATTTATTCTTTTTATAGGATTTTTTAAACATTTAATTTAATTGAATATTATAAAAATACTTTTTTTTTTGTATTATAATATCTAATATTACTTGAATCTTAAAATAGTTGTATATTTAAACAGCTTATTTATTTAAATTGTGATAACTAAGAAATTTTAAAGAGATCAAAATTGTAATTGCAGTTACAATTAGAATCTACTTATTAATACTAACTTAGGGATTATCACTAACTTATAGACACCTAAATTTTAGATTTTAAGATCTTTAAACTTTAAAACTACTGCTAAATTTAGATAGAAGAATCACTTTTAACAATAAATATTATTATATTCCTATTTTTACCAATATCAATTAAAATTACTATGATTTTTGCCTGTTAATAGAATATTTTACACATAATTAAAAGGCTTAAGATGAAATAACCTTATAAGACTTATACTTTAAAAGTTATTATGTTTATATAGAATTTAAAAAGATAGGTGACTATCATATCTATATTATTAAATATACTTAGAAACTGAATTGATCACTATAGTTTAATAGTTTAATTAGAAAATACTATAATTATATAATGCAGTTTATTATTACTATAACCTTGTAAAGTATTTAATCTACTAATTATTAGTTAATCACTTACTTATTTATATAAGAATTTCTAAATTTGAAAACATGAGATAGTATTTATTATAGATATATTAGAGAAGGTTAAGATTTTGTTAATCTCTGATGTTTTAGTATTCAATTATTCTTTAAACTCACTATTTAGATATAATCAATATTGATTGATGAATTGATTAACTAGTATTTAACATATATTAGTATATATGTTCATATATTCAGCTACATAATAATATTCTGATAAAAATTATTTATGTATTATATTTTACTAAAGCCTGAATTTACAGCTTTCATAATATAATTTATAAAAGAGACTCAGTTGCTAAAATTGCCAATTTCTGAATATTATAATAATACTAATATTAGTATTCTTAAGAAGAAATAAATTTCCAAAAATTAATATCAATTACTAGAATATAAAATAAGTTTTTCAATAAAATTTTGCATACATTTAATATTAAATAAGAGTTATTATTGCTAAAACTATTATTTATAGATTTTAAAATTTTAGTTCTAAAAAATAAATACTTTTTAAATAGAAATCCTATACATTTTTTTCTTTTTTATAAAAAAATTGGATTTCAAAAGATCATGATGATAAAAGTTAAAAAAAATCCAACCAGATATTTTTCAATTACTAACAAATAATATTATCATGCTCACTTATATGATGTAAATTATTTTGTTTTTTAATATTTTTTGTGATATTATGGAGTTTATATTAATAAATAAACTATAAATAATGCTTATTTTTATACTTTATTAATGTTAAATAACTTGTTTTTATTTTAACCTAATAAAATAATATAAGTAAATATGGAATTTTGTGTTAACTGTTAAAAGTTATCAAGAAATCCCATTACCTAATTTTAGTTTAGATTTTAAATTTTTGGTAATCAAATTATAAGAATTTCTGAGTTAAAGATCATTGTTTTCTAAGGGAACTAATTAATATATATCTGAAAAAACTTTTTCTAACGAGTAGATAATTTATTCTTTTTCACTTTTTGCGATATTAATTCAATTATGCGGAATAGGATACCTATGGAATTAATTAAATTTTTATCAGCTGTAATTTTTTGAATGTCATTTGGTATTTGTAGTGATTGACAAAAGAGATCTTTTATTGTTGCAATATTAATGGTTTAATTTTCATTATTCAAAATTAAGGATAATAATAATAATAAAAAAAAATCATAATTATCAAAAATGTATTATCATTAAAAAATTGCAATATCTTAAATATAATTTTTAGCATATAAATGTTGTAATTTATCTTCTATTATATATTAATAAATTTGTTTAGGTTTTCTTTTCATTAGTTTCTTTAAAAGTATAATCGCCTAAAAATAAAGATTTGTTAAATTATGTTATTTACCTTATCACAAAAAAGTAAACAAATTTATCTTTTTTCATGATTCTTAAAAATGGTTCTTTCATTTTTTTAAAAAATTTAGTATAATTGAAAGAGAATTATAATGAACTTCTTTTCATAATTTTTAAGTAATCACACAATAATATCGTTATTGTGCTTACGTTAATAAATAATTAAATCTAGCTGATTATTATTATGAATTAAACAATAATTTTGATATTAATCGTTACAAAGCACAATAACTTATAATTAAAGTAATCAATGTTAATTTGATCATTTTTGATTTTCTTAAATAGAAAAAAGAGGTCTTTTAGTTTCACAAAATTGATTAAATTAAATATTACCTTAATTGGAAGTTAATAGAAATCAGAAATCAATTTCAACGATCGACCCTATTGCCTGACCCAGTAAGGTCTGATGATACTGGCTCGAGGATTACCAATAAATTATAGACATTCATAACTGAAGATCTCTAGATCCTAAGAATCACTGCCAAATTTGGATAGAGGGTAAATTCATGATCATCAAATTGTAATTTAGAAATCTATATACTGCAAGGGATTATTATAGTATTGTTAAGATTATAAAAAAGATTAAAGTTTCAAATATGGGAAATTTTCCGAATATAATTGAATATTACAAAATCTTTGTAGCTTCATCGATCAATTCATCCATTTGTAAATTTTAACTATTGATTTTTTATTGCACAGAATATCATTATCGTTAAAGTCAATCTAATCGAAAAAAGTGGCAAAAAAAAAATTTGTTATCGATATCTTGAAAAAAGTAACATTTACAAATGAAATGTATACCTGTATTTACTTTTCATGCAGAATTTTCAATTCGTAGGAGTAAAATGAAGTTCATAAATTAGAATCCTATTAACCCTATTCAAAACTTTAACATAATCATTAATTTCATTAATAATTACACCGCAAAAATGACTTTAGGCCGTGGCAAATCACAGACTCTTTGGCCCGTTATATACCTTACAGGAAAAAATATTCTTATGAATTGTGTTTTTGGTATTATAAAAAAAAAACTGGATAATGTTTATATGATGGAAAAGAATTAAGCGACAAGGATCATGTTTGAAATTAATAATTGCTGGTAAGTATTAGTTAAATTAAATATATTTGATATATTAAAATATGATTGAAGGGACACATAATCACTTTTAGTGCATGATTTTGGAATATTCAATACATCTAGTTACAATTTATTAAACATTAAAGAATCTCTATAAACTTGTTCTCTTTGCAAAAATATCATTTAAATTGCCGCATGAAAATTTGTGTTACATAATTTAAAAATTTCAAGACTCCGGGTTATTATCCTAGACCCCGTGTATAAATAAAATTTTTTTAAGTACTTATCACGTGATATGTACAGTTGCGGTCTAGGATAAGAGCCTGACCTTATTATTTCAGTCACTGGAATTATTGGTTAATCATCCGTGACCGGACAGAGAAACACACGTGACCGAAAAATTTTCACGTTGCGTAGACTTTCGCTTCGCTCAGGACAAATAAGCGCTGCATCGTATTCCTACTAAAGTGGCCTGAGTTAAAGATTAGCCGGGCAGGTTAACGCCTATTATTATCATGTGATATGTTAATTGAACGCGTTTAATATCACATTCGGAAATGATCGGCGGTTGTTTACGGGCTTATGAACTATTTTTTATTTTTTATTTTTTATTTTATTTTTTTTTTATTTATTTTTTATTTTTTTTTTTATTTCTAACATTCCCGATGATGTCTCGACTCGTAATGTCACTTTTTTATTATCGAACGATATTACTATTTTTATTATATCTTTATAGTGCTCTTTTCAACATCTATGATGTTATTACCGAAATTTTGGTGAGACGGTATATTTATAGAGAGGAGTATTAAAACTAAAACCTCTATTGTTTACAAATAACTACATTTTTGATTGTGAATATCAAACCGTGGATAATTGAAAAATTTTCAGGTAACAGATTTTTTATTTGAAAGTTATCTCGTTTTAGATATTGTTCGGCATACCGATTCTAAACATGTGTCAAACATTCCTTTAAACGTTCGTTTCACATGAACAGTATATAAGTTGAAAGAGAAGTATGTATGTTGTGAGAAACCAATTGTCGAGGGCGTGTTTTATCATCCGAATTGTTCGTATGGTAAGTTGCATATTGTTTTCTTTGCATGATTAACCTTTTAACAATTAACTTACTAACTTTTAAAAAATGTTTATAAAGACGCCAAAATTACAACAAAATATTTATCACTCAGGATATGATGTCACCAAGAATAATTAAAATTAAACCCAAAGTATAATCGTGCGCATTGTTTTTGTATTTTTTTTTTTTTTAAAAAAAAATATACATCAACTAACTACAAAAGGCGAAGAGGAAATGAACTTATCGTGTTTACACATAATTGGAGATTTGTTCAAAAAATATTTTTTTATTAAGATTAATCGAAGATAATGTAATTAATAACTGAATGTATTGTCACCTAAAATTTCATAATAAAGATATATTGTTTCTATTCTATCACAACTACTTTTTTTTTTTAAAAAGATTTGATCGATCATTTAATTCGTGTATTTAAATTATCAAAAAGGTATAATACGTATTGATTTTGATAATATGATTAGATTATTATAGTTCGAAGATAATTTCAGCATTTTTCTAAGTTTATCACTTCGCAGATATTACTTATGTCTTGTGGTATAAATTTAAGATACTGTATATACTTCTTTTAGAAGACCACGAATTGATCCTCTAATTAATATGAAAGACCTGAAAGTATTACCTGCCTATTTATCAGGATTCGCTGCATTGTAATTTATTAGACAAGTTTCAAAAAATTTATTTAGGACAAAGTTTGTGTTGTATAGAAATCAATATCTAATAATCAGATTTTTATATAAGATTTTGTTTCTTTTAATATAGTTATTTTCTCTTTACATATAGGTTCTTTTTTTTGTCATAGGTTAGATTTTTTGTGATTTTCATTTTTTTCACCGTTTATAAAGTTTTCGTGAATAATTTTAATCGAGAACATGACGAATTTAACAACTAAAGAAGATCGTTTCGGACAAAAGACATAACATAACCAGTTAAGTTTGAAAGAAATATCATCAAATGGTCTTTCATCTCGGTCAGCTTTGGACCGCCTATTTTCGATTCAGATTTTTTTATAACTTTTAGAATGTCGGAAATGGAGAGTAAGAAGACGCAGTAATCGTTTAGGCATTTTGAACAAAAATTTTACACATATTAATTTTTTTTGACGAACTTCGCTTCATTACGTTAATTATGTATGCAATTATTACAATTTGATATTTACGATTTAATTTTATGCAATGTTTAAATGAAAATTATATTAATTTTAAAATAAAACAGAATTTTTTGATTATGAATAAGTATTTTCTGATTTTTGCGAGGTTGATTTAACATTATTAGGGAATTGAGAAAAAATAGAGACCACTGATTCAATACTATTAAAAATGTATATATCAGATATTTTTTTCGTTCCAATCTAGTTTGATCATGCCGACCTAAGAATTATCTAATTTATTAAGACGTATAAAAAAGCAGAAATTGAATTATTACTGTGCTTAAAAAATCATCATTTAAAATCATCCGTCTAAAGTTCATTTTCATTATTTATCATTTGATCATTGTATTAGAACAATGACGTAACGTAAAGCATTTGATTTTGCAAAATGATGCGTTAAAATTTCTGATAATAGGTTAGTGATCGAGATGTTATTATGAACAGGAATTCATTGCTTCGTCCTGATGCTCCAAGTTGGACAGGAATGTGACTCCACCATCTTGGCAACCAAAAAAATATTTGGACGTCGTATAGATGATTCTCGAGCGTTGGTTGCATTTTTTATATCAAATCTTGGAAGACCCGTTTTAGTTAAATCTTTTGGGACTGCCCAGCACGTTAAAGTTTTTCAGACACAGAGGTGCTCCTTTTCAATCTATTACAGGATTCGGTGACATTCATTGCAATGGTCCTATCATTCAAATCTATCAAACAAACATTCCTGCTGCTGCAATGTTTCAAGGTTGTGCTACTAATTAGGATTCAACCTGGATCATTGGCTTTTAGAGGTACTTGCTTTTACAAAAAATAAAAAAAAAAAAAACTATCTAAAGAAAGATTATTATTTTTTTTTTTTTATGAAAAAGCCATAGAATTAACAAAGTTGATAACGTGAAAATTTATATTGTAGTGTGTTTAAAAATTACCTTGTTTAGAAGAATTATGCTTCCAAACAAAACGAATAACGTTATAAACCATAATTCAAACTTTAAATTAATAATGCGTATATTTACGAAGGACGGATTCTTTTTGTTATATTGTAAACGCCTCAAGAACAATTTCTTTAACTGTGGCGATGTTAAGGTTATGAAAAGATTTCAACGTTAAATATATTTATCAAAATCTTTTACAAGTTGCACGAAATACTTTGCCAAATCCTCCAGAACCAGTTTCTTAATATTACAAAAAGTTTCGTATTCTTATATAGAATAGACCATTCATTTTTCTTGAATTTTAACAATTTTCGACAGTGAAATGAGAAGTATTTTTTTTTTCCTTCCCGACCTGTGTAAAAAGTAAGTACGTGATTTTTTTTTTTCGCTGCGAAATGTACGGCAAATTATATACCTTTAAGGCCAAGCCTAATTTTTTGGCCAAATGTCACATGACTTTGCCAAATTCTGACCGCGATTTATTTGCAAAAAATGCAAAAATGGACGTCTCCAACTTCAGGACGTTCAAAAATGCTATATTTTGACACCAGGACGTTTAAATAATTGCAAAATTGCAAAAAAGTTGACGCTTCCGACTTCAGGACATTCAAATTCTTGTAAAAATGCAATATTATAAAGCCTCCAACTTTCGAGGTGTTAGAATTTGAACGTCCTGAAGCCAAAAGAGTCAATTTTTGCAATTTTTGCAATAAACTGAACATCCCGAACATCAGAGGCATCAATTTTTTGCAATTTGCAAGAATTTGAACTTTTCGAAGTCGGATGCGTCAATTTATACAATCTTGCAATTAATTAAACGTCTCGGATGTCGGAAGTGTCAAATATTGTATTTTTGGCAATAAATTGACGCCTCGACATAGCGTTCGTTAATTTCATCATAGTATTTTTTAATACTTAAAATTAATAAATATAAAAATTAAACATAAATAATATAAATCTCAAATTTATATAAATAATATTTTGTCTGGTTAAAACTATTACCATACCCAACCAAGTACAACACTCTTTAAGGTAGATTATACGTAATTCCTTTTTTTAACTCAACCAATAAATAGCTACAAAGAAGTAAATGAAAATCCATAAAAAGTTAGATCCATCCCTCTTTATCTCACCAAATTTTGATTATTTAAATTCTTGTTATTCTTTTTCTTAAATGATTCTTTTGTAATTTCTCATAAAAAAAAAAAAAAAAAAAAAAAAAAAATGCAAAATACTAATATTTCAAATGAGTGGATTAATTGGATTGAAGAGGCAATTGCTAAAAGGCACATTAAAAATTACGAATATGTTCATTTTAGTAATATTCAAGAAATTGGTTCTGGTGGTTTTGGAAAAGTATACCGCGCAAATTGGAAAAATTCTAATAAATATTTGGCATTGAAATCCTTTCACCTTAACGACGCCACAGCGAAGGAAATCGTTCATGAGGTAATTCTATACCTTCGAGATATCCATTTTTCTAATTTAAAAAGAAAATCTTTTTTTTTCCATTTCATCACGGTTTAAGATTAAACTTCAGCGCGAAGTGGATTTTCATGATAACATCATTCGCTTCTATGGCCTTACATCTTCTGATCAAGGTATTTTTTTTTTTTTTTAATTTTAAAATAATCGCTTTGACCTTGTGAAACTTACAAAAAAAAAAAAAATTAAAATTAAAAAATTTAGAAAATGATCAATTGAAAAAGCATTTATTGGTGATGGAATATGCTGATAAAGGTACACTCCAAAGCTATTTGAAGAGTGATTTCAAAGAACTTAAATGGAATGATAAATACGATTTTGCACTTCAATTGGCTTGGGCTGTATCATGTTTACACGATGAAGGAATTGTGCATTGTGACTTGGTAAAATCTTATGTTCAGTCATTAGTCTAACATGATTTTCTTGTCAACATATATTGATTTAATAATGCCTGTATAATATTAGCACTCCAAAAATATTTTGGTTCATCAAAAAATGATTAAACTGGCTGATTTTGGATTATCAAAAAGGATCGAAGTGTCATCCAAACAACAATCGAAAACTTTTGGCGTTATTCCTTATATTGATCCAAAAATATTCAACAGAAAAATATTTGCCAACAATCAATACAAACTTAATGAAAAGAGCGACGTTTACAGTGTTGGCGTACTTTTATGGGAGATTTCAAGTGGTCATCCACCTTTTCGTACTGAGGGTGAACAATATGGTGTTGATCTGGCCATGCAAATTTCACAGGGTATTAGGGAACAGGTTATTTTTGGTACACCTGAAGATTACGTGGAAGTTTATACCGGTAAATTTCACTTCTTTTTTTTTTTTTTTCCTGTAACATATTTTTGATGATTAAAAAATTTCAATTTTTTAGAGTGTTGGGATGGTGAACCGGATAAACGTCCTACTATAAATCAGGTGGTTGAAAAGTTGCAGAAAATTATCGCAAAGACAGGCAGGATAGCAGAAAGTGATCGGCAACTCAATCAGGAATCATCAAACGAATTACAACTTGATTCACGTAATATCAGCGTTACCTCTGATAACTCATCACATGGAAGTTTATCTAATATCATCCAAAATATTCATCAGATGGATACGAGTAATATAATAAATACTTTAGCACCCGATAGGCGAACAACCCGTGAAGATATTATACCTAACGTGGACCTGAGAATTATTACTAATAAAATAGTTGACCTTATTTGTAAGGAGATAAATAAGAGAACCGAAGTCAAGATCCGAAACCTACTTATTCTTGATTATCTTAACAATCAAAATATTACTATGAAAGAATTCCTTAATTGGTTATCGAATGATCTAAATCATTCAAATTCCATTTTTTTACTTGGATACTTTAATTATTTTAAAATGGGAACGAGCAAAGGTAAGAAAAGGGCATTTGAATTATTTTTAAATGCTGCTTCAGAACATAATCACGTAATAGCGCAATATTATGTTGGATTATGTTATGAAAAGGGACATTGCGTTTCAAGGAATAAAAAATTGGCTTTTGAAAATTATGAGAAGACGACCGAAAAGGGGTTTTCGAGTGGTATAACAAGGTTGGGTTATTGTTATTACTATGGAATTGGAACCGACATTGATAAGCAAGAGGCGTTTAGATTATATCAAAAAGCCGCGGACTTAAAACACAAAATAGCTCAATATAATCTTGCTCTCATATATGAAAATGGTTATGGCGTTGATAAAAGTATAGATACGGCAATTTATTGGTATAAAAAATCTGCTGAACAAGGATATCACGACGCTGAATGTAAACTTAGAAACATATTAAAAATCAAGAATGGAAATAATCACTCGTGTAATATAAATTGAATAAATTGGTACAATGTGTATTTTTAAATTTGTATTAATAAAAAATCATAAATTAATATTTAAACATTAATCAGAGAATCATGGGAAGTAAGATTGCGAGGCAAATCCAAAATCCCATTTTGGCAAAAGTCGAAACCTTTCGATTTCGGAGGGTTTCGATGGGGTTTGACGGATTTAGACGGGTTTCGACGGGTTTCGACGGATTTCGACGGGTTTCGACGGGTTTCGACGGATTTCGATGGATTTCGACGGGTTTTGACGGGTTTTGACGGGTTTCGATTTCGATGCCTGTCAAAACCTCCGGGTTTTACCCGGCAACCTTTTAACTGGAGGTTAATTTCATTATAAAATGACCCAGAATATATATGATTTACTTTTGTAAAAAAAAAAATTTTTATTAAACATCATTAAGCTAAATACGATTTTGGTTTAGGTTGCAGCATAAATTGTAGATCCGACGATCTCCCAAATCGCGATTTTGATCGTTCTTCCGATTTCGCGATATAAAACATTATTTTAACATCACGAATGGGATTAACCTAAATAGGTTAACAAATCGTTCATTATAAAGGAAATCCACCAGACAAGTTTTATTTATTTATTTATTTATAACAAAATGTTTTATTGATAATTTCGTTGAAATGAGTTAAATAAAAATTAGGAATTTCAAATATGAGCACTATCAAATATTTTTTATTCCTATTTCGAAGGGACGAATCCCTTGTCCATTTTTCTAATTATAAGGTTAAATAATTAAATTTTTAAATTTTTTTTTTTTTTTTTCAATTTCTGCAGCCTAAATTTTTTTTAAAATAAAACAAAAATTTATAATAAAAAAAAATATTTTTAAATTTTTTAATTTATTACACATGAATCATTTTTATTCCTTTCGTTTTTCAAGAGCTTATTTAATCTATTAAAAGCTTGTTGATATCCTTGGTTGGCAGATTTCCTATACCAATAAATTGCTTTATTTATATCTTTACCGATTCCAATTCCCTCTTTATACAGAGTGGCAAGATTAAATTGAGCCATTTCATGTTCTAATTTTGCAGCTTTTTCATATAATACAAATGCTTTTTGGAAATCAATACTAGTGCCAATTCCATATTGATAACAACAACCTAAATTATACATTCCACCTGGATATTCAAAATCAGCTGACTTTTTGAATAATTCAAAGGCCCTATAACAATCTTTTTTAACGCCTTTTCCGTGATTATAACAAACACCAAGATTAAATATAGCGATCATATTTCCGTTATTTGCAGCTTTTTCATACCAATAAGCAGCCATTTTTAAATCCTTTTTAATTCCTGTTCCATCGATATAACACGATCCTATAGGTATTTGTCCAGCTGCGAAATCTTTATTCGCTACTTTTTCATAATAATTAAATGCAACCTTATCATCTTTTTTAATACCGTATCCCTCACTATAACATCTTGCGACATAAAGTTGTGCCAAAGTATGATCTTTTTCTGAAGCTTT